AGCAGCCTGGAGTTGCCTCCAAATGGAATGGGAGGCTTTTAAATGGGTGAACGAATGAATAAAACAAACGAATGAATAAAATAAACGAGAGCCTTTCTCGTTCATGGTAGTTTTAGTCCTCCGTGGAGGTGATTTGCTGGAGAAAAGTTGATTTCCTTGGAAAAGTGGTGACATTGGTGTCATCTCTAAGGGGTGGACTTCAACTCTCAGAATTCCCCAGCCAGCATGGAGGTTGAAATCCACCCCTCTTAAAAGTGCCAAGGTTGAGGAACATTGGATAACAGAGTCCAGAGAATGAAACAAGTGTACGAAAGAAACTCAGAGGAAGCATGTCTTGGTTTTATTTAGTGTAGTGATGGGTCANTGGAAGGCTGAGTCAACCCTGAGCCGGTGAGATTTGAACAGCCGAACTGTAGAACTGCAGTCAGCTGGAGTAGCCTGCAGTGCTGCATTTAACCACTGCGCCACCTTGGCTCTTTTAAATGAGAGTTATTCTCACCATCTGCTGCATGTGGCAGGGAGGGAGTTTCCTGCCAAGGCCAACTGTCCGGCATACCAAGCTGATGATGATTTTTGAAGGTGACTCACACATGACACCTGTGGAATAATTGGATTGAACTATGGACTGGGGTTACAAAGGGGAGGGGAATGGGTCACATATTGATATCTATTATTGCGCACGCTTTTGTCTCAGATCCTGCTTTGCTTAGCTACTATCTACTTATAACCAGTAAAAGTACTCTTAATTCTGCAAAATGGAGTTGAGGGGTTTCTTTCTTGGTTACTAAGTGAAGGAGCCCTGACAATTTCCCTCTCTCCACTCTCTCCACTCTTTCTCCTTAACTCTACCTTTCCTTTCCACTCTCTTCCAATTAATTGACATGGTGTATTTCAGCATCGGAGCACACTTCATTTAATATTGGCTGGTATTGATAATTACATTCCGATAAACATCTCTCATATTTATGATTTTACATACACCCTCTTTTTAGTGGTATACACATTTCAAAATTCCATTATTTGACCGCCAAAAAAAAGCCTATTTTTGGGGGGCAAAGCGCGAGCCGGATTTGAGTTTCCTGCTAAACTCATACTAATTTTACATAGTTATATATCGTTAAGCACCCCAGAATTTTAACTCTCTCATTAGCGCGTCAGTTAATTGTTTTCACTGGGCGTATTTTCAATTCCCATTGTAACCCTCCATCCACATCTCAGATATCTTCTCCACTTAAGGGGGGGGGGGGAAAGAAAACTACCTGTTCATTTAACAACACTTATTTCCTGTAAATATCTTTACTAGGACCATACCGAGGTGGCGCAGTGGTTAAATGCAGCACTGCAGGCTGACTGCTAGATCAGCAGTTCAGCGGTTCAAATCTCACCGGCTCNCTTCCAAAATTTGGACAACTGGGACAACCCCACCTTGCAAAATTGGAGGCACACTTCAGTTTTGCTCTTTTTGAAAAAAAAAAAACACAACTCATTTTATGAGTAAACCTTTAGTGCAGGGGTCCCCAAACTTGGCAACTTTTAAGGTTTGTGGACTTCAACTCCTAGAATTCTCCAGCCAGCATAGCTGGCTGGAGAATTCTGGGAGTTGAAGTCCACAAGCCTTAAAAGTTGCCAAGTTTGGGGACCCCTGCACTAAAGGTTTACTCATAAAATGAGTTGTGTTTTTTTTTTTCAAAAAGAGCAAAACTGAAGTGTGCCTCCAATTTTACAATGTGGGATTGTCCCAGTTATCCAAATTTTGGAAGGAACTGACCCAGCTGGATCCCCTTTTCATCATCGATTTAAGGACTCGGGATTAGAGAGAATCTCCGTACCGATCCCGAGACAAGATTAACGAACTTTACACCACCACTTTTATCAAGTGTGCAGGCAGAATGTCCAGATGTTGGAGGTTTCTTTTCTGAAGACCACCATTAAACCTGACTAGTCATTTAAAAAACAAAGAAACAACCATCAAAGATTCCTCTATAAACGAGGAAGAAAGATCAGAGCATTGCAAGGAATAATTTTCATGGGAGAAAACCTGTATCCGGTGGCGAGGAAGAAGTAGGTGGCTAAAATGAAGGATGCAGTAAGTCTATTAAGCCGGAGATGTCTTGCTTCAAAGAGGAGGTTCCTCTAACAAATCACCCAGAGCTCCACCCAGAGATGTGGAACCCACCTGGCAGCAGAGTGCATGGGCTGCCATATTGAGACAATGCACCCCCTACCAAGTATCCTCAGAAGCTGGCGAAATACAGGAACGCTTTCCTCTGATGGAGAAGTTCGAGACAAAAACAGAGAAACACAGAATCGTAGGGATGGAAGGGACCTTGGAGGTCTTCTAGTCCAAGACTGCTCAAGCAGGAGACTCTATTCCGTTCCAGACAAACGACTGTCCAATCTTTTCTTGAAGAACTCCAGTGACGGAACACCTACAACTTCTGGAGGCAAGCAGTTCCACTGGTTACTTGTCCTGTCAGGAAATTCCTCCTTACTTCCAGGTTGTTTCCAACTGTTGCTTCTTGTCCTGCCTTCTGATGCTTTGGAGAAGAGCTTGACCCCCCTTCCTCTCTGTGACAGCCTCTCGAATATTGGAAGACAGCTATCGTGTCACACCTAATCCTCAGCCAAGGGGTTGCTCTTGAAGGTGAACCTTCCAATGTGAGCAGAAGTAACTACAGAACTGAAGAAGCTGCTTCTGTGAGAAGTGAAATGTTTTCAAGGGGGAAAAAAACCCAAGGAAGACCAATTGTTTTTGAAAAGGCAACCGTGACCTGGATGATTGAGAACCTCCATAGACATTTAACTACCGAACCGTATCTCACTCCCAGAGAGGTATCTTGCGAGCAACAACCACGCAGGGCGAGCTAAGTGATAGAACAAAAAATGAAAAGCATCACAGAGCAACAACATCAGGGAACAATCAACGTAAGGACGAAAACAATGAGGCAGCCCATTCAGATGAATACAGGCAAATTTTTTCCTGTAGAAGAAGCCTAAAGGGAACATCTGAGTGAGTTTATAAGTTGTTTATGACACCATGGGGAAAAGGGGCCCTTCGGTCTCAGTCAGACCCCATCCACCACCCCCCCAGCTCTTTGTCTGCTGTCATAAATCTAAATTTTAAACTTTCAGAAATCGCCAATGTCCCCAGATATATTTGTACCCCTAAGAGTTTCTCCATCCTTGGTCCTCTTCCGCCAAGGAGGGCCCCTACTGGATCCAAAAGTGAGATGTTGGGCGGAAATGATCCCCAAACCACCTGCGGAGGGAAGTTTTCAGCAGAAACTGTGGAGAACTGGGAGAAAGGGGGGGGAGTCCTTCCTTCCAGAGGGAAACTTTATGGAAAGGGGGCAAAAGCTGCAGACCCAGGAAAGCAGCTTCCACTCCTACTTGGGGGGGTGGGGGGAGCAACCCAGAGAGCAGCAAATGTATCCACTTTTGCAGTAACTTTAATGTTTTAACTTTTAACGCCTAAGACCTTCATGCTTTGAATCCTGGGATGGTTTTATCCCAGGTTTGTAGCCTTACAGGCTGCCCAGAGTGGCAAATAAATGGAATAAATTAAATTTGGGAGGGGGGGAGGGTGAGGGAGGGGTAGAGGCAGCCCTGGGGCAGAAGGGGTTTTCAGGGCCAGGCAGACCCTGAGGAGACCCCCTTCAGCTGAGGAAGGGGCATCCTGGCAAGGAAAGGGGGGGGGCAGGCGAGGGTCCTTCTCCTCTCAGGGGGGCCGTCAGGGCGACCAAAACGCCAGAGGGCATTGGGAGGGGGGCTCACTTGGGGAGGGGGGAGGACTGTCCACCTCCTCCAGCCCCCCCAGAAGGGAAAGTCTGCTTCGAATGGGGAGGGGGGGGTCTTTCTAACAACCGTCCAATTGAGGGGGGGGGGCTTCGGCGTCTGGGAAGGCTCTCAAGTCCAGCCGCGGCTCTCCTTTCGGGCGGCGGGAGCGCCCCCCCCCCCGCCCCATGGCGTGGCTGGGGATGATGGGGCCTCGGGTCGGGGGAAGGGGC